TGGGAGGAAGGTGAACAGTCAACAGGAATTGCTTGGCATATCCTGTAGTTCAGTGTAATTCTATGGCTAAGCTGCTAGGAAAAGTAACTACATTAGGTAGAATAATACTATTGCTACAACTACCACTATCCAAATCCTTGCTCTATCACATACTATGTGACCTTGGATAAATTATTTAAACTTTATGTGTCTTTTTTTTTGGGGGGGGGGTAAAGTGGGGATAACAATCCTCATTCATTGGATTGTTGTGAGACTTTTTAAAAATATGTAAAGTATTCAAAAAATTCCAGTTACAAAGTGTTGAATCAAATAAGAGCAACTTTTATTCTATCACCTTTACATCTACTATCTGATATGAAAAAAATAGACTCAATAGTTGGTGGCTGAATTCAAGAATGAATAAAATTTGAATGAATAAAGGTTATTATACCTGTCCCTAGCCAACTGGTTTCATTTGAATCGTGATTTTTCCTTATCTCTTTAATGTTAAACATCTTCTCACACAAAACTAGTCTGTTTTGAAGGGCTCCTTTTTCCAGGCCAAAGATGTAAAAACAGTAATTACTATCATCTTAGCTTCTTGCATTATATTAAAATGCCTCTTAAAACCATAATATGTATAAGCAAATTAACTAACTCATTTAGTTTTAAAGAATCAATCTTTTTAAATGGTTACTTTCTGTTACTTTCCAAAGTAGATGGCTGTTTCCAACTAACAAACAATTAAGTCAACAAACGAAAGGGAGATGTTGCCATTTAGAGGAATGCACCTTTAATTCAACAAAAAATACTGCACTCTAATGAATCCAAAGGTGAAATAAAGAAAAATGAAGACATTGTAATTGTTTAAATGGCCCATTGTCCTGCTCCAAACACAGGGACTTTTAAACAGGAATATTAAGTCAGACAATAATAAAATATACCAATACATTATACATTCAGAATTAGAAGTAATTTTCATGAGGGTTCACATGCTTTTATTAAGGACATAATTAATAAGGACATAATCAAGAGCAGAAATATTTTTAATTTCTCAGGATCAATACACTTAAATCCTACTTAATAATAGCCAACAATTAAAGGGCATTCCATACTGCTCAAAGCTTTTGCACATATTATTTTAAAAAATAAATACTTCTGTATGTTTCCCAGAAAGAAATAGAACTTTCAGGAAGGGCAGGGAGCCTGCAAATTGTTGGATTAACTGCTTGGGACAATGAGTACTGCAAGGTGCTTTTCCTAGTAAAAACGTGTTCAAAGCCCAAAGCTAACCTACTCAAAAAACATCAGGTCAGTGACATTAACATCTTTTAGCAGGTGAGGCTCCAAGGAACCCAGTGGCTAGCTTACTGAAACTAATAATAAATGTTGGTGAGGATGCAGGGGAAAAGAAACACACATTTTTGGTACTACAACCATGATGGAAATCAGTGTGGAGATTCTCAAAAAAACAGGCCTGGAACCACCAAATGACCAAGCTGTACCTCTCCTTGGTGTTTCTCCAAAAGAACTAAAATTACCATACCACAGCATACCCATACTATGCATACCCATATTTATAGCAGCACAATTCATAATAGCCCTATTATAGAATCAGCCTAGGTGTCTGTCAACAGATGAATTAATAAAGAAAATGTGGTATATATACATAACAGAGTTTTAGCCATAAAGAAGAATGAAATTATGTCATTTGCTGGTAAACAGATGAAACTGAAGGATATCATGCTGAATGAAATAAAACTCAGAAAGTTAAGGGTCAGATGAAGGAGTTATAGAGAAATAAGGAAGTAAAAAAGCAATCTCATGAAAACAGAAGGAAGAACAGTAGATTAGGGGAAGGGAATTATGGGGGAGAGAGAAGGGGAAGAAGGAGGAAGGACTAGGAATGTGCATGTATAAATTATCACAGTAATTCCCACTTTGACATATAATTATCATGTACCAATTAAAAAATAAAAAGTATGTGTCAGTCAGCTTTCCATCACTGTGATCAAAGTATCTGACAAGAAAATTCAGAAAAGGAAAAGTTTATTTTAGCTCAAGTTTCAGAGGTTCAGTCCACAGCTGGCCAACTCCATTGCTCTGGGGCTGAGGTGAAACAGAACACTTCAGTTTACTGCATCCCAGAAGCAGAAAGTGAGGGAGAAACTAGAGATAAAATATAATGCCCAAGGGCACCTCCCACCACCACCACCAAACGGCTTCTTCTAGCCTCACCTCATCTGCCTATAGTCACCACCCAGCAATCCATTCAGATTCCTAATCCCCCAAATGGATTAATCCATTGATTAGGTTATAGTTTACATAATCTAATCTTTTTTGTTTCCCAACATTTGCTACATTGGATATTGTGTTTCCAATATTTGAGGTTTTCAGGAGACACTATATATTCAAATTATAACAATGGGAGTAGTGTAGAGTAGAGGTAAAGGTTAAGGGGGAGGAAGGAGGTGAGTGAAGGGGAAGTACTGAGAAATGAAATGAGCAATAAATTATGCTATTATGCTATATGCATGTATAAATATGTCACAAGAATCCCACTGTTATGAATAATTATAATTTATCATAAAAACATTAAAAATTATAACTTTAATGCAGCCATGAGGAAACATCAAACAGAGCCAAATTAAGAATCATTCTACAAAATACCAGTTTTATAGCTTTAAAAATATCCAGGTGAAGAAAGACAAAGATTATAGAACAGTTTCAGAATAAAGGAGACTACTTAAGATGTCTGCAGATGATCAAAGCACAGTACCTAGGCACAGCCTGACCCACATTCCCCCAAAGTTCACATTCAAGGTCTCAATCCCAGTGACCAAACTTAAGAGACGGGGCCTTTAAAGTGGTACCTAAGGCAAAACAATGTCCTATGTGTCAATCAATCCAACATGTGAAGAGGCAATCAGGACCCAGAAATATTACACACACAGGAAAAACCACATCAGGACAGACTACAAGGGGGTAGTCGTAAGCTGAGAGAGAAAATAACTTTCTGTTGTTTAAGTCATTCAGTCTTGTATCCACTACACAGACCAAATAATCTAACATAGTACCAATGTTGACTTCTTTTTTTTAAATTTAACTTTTAATTAATTAATTATGTGGTGCTAAAGATTGAACCCAGGCCCTTACCCCTGCCCAGAATTGCTCTACTACTGAGCCACAACCCCACCCCAAATGTTGACTTCTTGGTGTTTTTAAATGTGCAGTAGGAATTCAATGTATTTGATTTTAGAAAGTACAAGCTGAAGCATTCAGAACATTGTGTCTGAGACAATCTCAGCTCAGAGGGAGACAGTTACTAAGAGGGAAAGAGAAGGAGAAAGTGCAAAAATGATACACATCATAACTTTGGGGGAATAAGGCTAATGGTATAATTAGATTCTTTGTACTATTTTTGCAATGTTGCTTTTGATCTGAAATTACTGCAAAATTATAACTGTAGAAAAATGATGCTAAATCCCCTTTCATTTTAACAATATGTAAAATCCATGAAGGATATATTAACTATTGCTGTTTTAAGGCATACACATCTCATTAAAAATATCATTTTCCATAATATTTTTACTTTTTATTCTGGAAAATTACCCAAATTTTGTGACACAGTTACATTGTTTTGACATAACATATTGGTAATAATATATACTATATATATTATATGTGTATATATATAATGTATGTACATATATATATATATAAAATCACAATTAATAATGAATTTTTACCACTTACTATACATGTTTGTTTTAGAATATTATCTCAGAATAATAAAATACTCTAAAGAATAAAATATTAGAATACAATTTTGTTAAATAATAGAAATACTGTTCAGAGAGTAAAACAAACAGTGTTTAATTTTCCAATCATAAGGTCTTGTTATGGTTTTTAAAAAAAAACAACAAAAGGTACCGAGTTACTTTAGTTCTTAGATTCCATTTCAAAATGAGGAATAGTCAATATTCAAAATATACTAAAATTAGATGTTCTGCAACTTTTAAACTAAATAAGAAAAAAATAAGCTGTCCATGTTTTTATTTATGAGATACATATAGATACTGATAATATCTGAAGCAAAACGTTTTACAACTGTACTGATTTATTTTTGATGAGCTGAGTAATAATGACCCAGGATGGTGTAAGGGAAGTGATGGGCATTCTTACCCAGTATCACTGATGGGATTTAAAATGGTTTTCCAGAGTCACCAGAGTTGGATTTTAAAATTTTTGAAAATATTTGCTCCTAGTTATTTCTCAACTATTTCCGTGAATTATATGGATGCTTCTACAGAACTTAGTCCTATTCCCAAAAAGGAATAAGTCTGATGTTTAATTTTTCTAAGTTATTAAGGTGGTAACTCCCATTTCTTCTCATTTACCTTTACAGAAGGGTTATTAAATTTCAGAATTCTAGTAAAAAGAATTATTAGGGTTCATAGAATACTAAATGTTCAACTCATTTAAAACATAACAATATAAAAGAAAGAACATCAAAAGATCTCCTGTGAAGACAGACCCCTGCTCCTCTTCAATGAAGAGGGCAGGACACAGCATGGATTAAATGGGTCAACACTCAGGACTCCTCTGGAAGGACTCAGGGAAGAGGTGGTTAACTCTTTCTCACAAGCAACACTTCCCTGGTTGGTGTGAAAACAGCAGTTATCAGCTAACATTTTATACACTCTCAAATGCAGTGCAAACAACAAACATGAAGGGTTTCAATAACACTTTTCTTATTCATTTCAGCAGATATCATGAAATGTAAGTCTGATGTTTAAACATCTTACCTAAATATTAATTTCATTTTTATTTTTAACAAACTCATACCTTAAAATAAATGCAAAGTATCAGGAGATTTTTTAAGGCATTTCCTAAAATATGTACAACTAGGAATCATTTCTCCTAGTTTGTAAAGAAACGTAAATGGAAAACACTGCAAGTGGCTTTACTGGACATTAATATCCAGTATATAGTCAAAAGATATTTAAAGCAGCACTTACATTAGCACAGTGTAAGGCCAAAGCACAGAAGACAGCGAACATTTTGAAGTTGTTCTCGTCGGTCTTGGAGAAGGCACTGCCGCTGATTTTGTTCACCATCTGCACCACGCCTATCACACTCCCCCGACTCACGATGGGCATGCACAGGATGTTGCGGGTAGTGTAGCCTGTGTACAAGTCCACCTCCCTGCAAAGTGAAGGAGCAAAGCCATCACCACAAAGAAAGAAGCAAGTAGAAAAAGATTAAACCACTCACTGCCTCCTAAGTCTCAACTCAGATATGCAATGGAGACGATGTGAGCCTCTAAATTTAGGGACAAGCTAATATTTGAAAGTGTTTTATTAGAACCTTTTCAGAAATATTCTAACTTTTGTTTTGTTTTGTTTTCACAACTGCCTCTACAGGAGGATTCTGCTCTTATTGGGTTTTTAGCATCCAGCATAATTGAGTCAACAGACAAGAGAAAAAACATTATAAATGTGGTAAAGTGATTTGTTCCTTTGAACTTGGGCCTATTTGTGAGATCTAACTTTTTAAATCATAGGCCTGTATAGCCAAAACTACTTACTAGCTGGCCATTAATAAATAAAGGTTTGCTTACTCCTGCTCTAAGGAAATGTTTTTAGATATAGGATCGAATTCCATAGAAAGAGCCATGTACCCAACACAAGGCAGTTAGTAGCTGCAGTCCTTAATGCCCTCATGTTACACACAGTTCTTGAGATTCACATGTCTGTCAGTACTTGTTATTACTGCATAGTTGCCCCTACTGAATGAATAAACCGCATTTGTTTATCCATTTATCAGTTAATGGGAAACATTATTTGCTATTAGCCAGTGTCAGTAATTATGGATAATGTTGGCTTGAAGATCTGTATACAAGTTCTTTGGATAACATATGTTTTAGCTTTTCTTGTAGTAGTGCCTGGGAGTGGAGATGATGGATGGATTATACAGTGGGTGTATGTTCAAATTTCCAACAAGTTGAAAGACTTTTTACCTAAGGAGTTGTACCATTACACATTCCCACGAGCAGAGTCTGAGAGTTTCAGTTTATCCTCACCCTTTCCAATCCTTGCTACTATCAGTATTTTATAATCTCAACCATTTCACATTGGCATGTAGTAGGATCTAACTGACATATGTACACCCTACTCACTTCCCATGTATTTAACAGCTATATGAATATTTTCTTTTGTAAAGTGTCTCTTAAAATTGTCTCCTTTTTATTAAATTGCAATATCTTAATATTTAGAGGAGTGTTATCATATTTCAGACACAAATGTTTTGTCAGATATATGTTTTGCCAATATTTTCTTTAATCAGTTGATTTTATTTTCATCTTCTTATAGTCCGACCCACAAATTTTTACATAAATATTTTACATAATATAAATATTTTCAACATTTAAACACCGATTTTCCTGAAAAAATAAGATTTTTAGTATTCTTAATTTATTGATAAAGTATATTATAAGAATATAGCTGTGCTTATATGACTCATGAATATTTGACATTAATCAATTAATTCCATGAAAAATCTTGGCATTTCTTGCATCATTTATCTTCCAAAGTAAGCCAAATGTTTGTATTAACTAAGCACTACTGTCACTCTATCTAAAATATTACTCCCTACCAGTAATAGCCTCCTCAATTTCTAGAGATTTATTAAAACCATATTTTGTAATTTGGTTTCTAGTACTCTAAAAGAAAATCAAAATGAAATAAAACTCTTTTCAGCTCTCTTAAAATCCAATTTTAATAATATACAATAAAATCTATGGTTTGTTAGGTTTCTACTCTATGTCTGGTAAAGTTTCTAAACTTTTTAACAAACATTATCCATAATCTTTAAAAAAAAAACTACAATAAAGGCATTATTGTACTTTTTTTGGATTTTTTTTGTAGTGTTAGATGGACAGCGCATGCCTTTATTTGTTTGTTTTTATGTGGTGCTGAAAATGGAACCTAGTGACTCACACATTGAGAGGCAAGTGCTCTACCACTGAGCTATAGCACCAGTCTTATTAAACTATTTTAGAGATAAGGAATGAGACTCAGAGCTGACTACAAAATCACACAACCATAATTTAAAATGAGACCTGTCAGTATCAAAAGTATATAATTTTATCAGTATGTATTGTGTAGCACTTTGGCATATTATTCAATAGAGAATATGGTACAAGATGATGACACTATAATGAAAAAAACCACCAGCGATCCATCAGTTGAAACTCCTGCCTATTTGCTGTTTTTAAAACAATATAAACAACTCTAGCTTTGACACTGTTACATATTAGTCGCTGAGAATCCATTACTTCATAAATATCTGAATATACCACCTGTTAGTAATAGGACTGGTTCCCAGCAAAAAGGAAAGAACTGATGGAGTTGAGACATGTAGGACTGGAGCTGTCCAGAAGACATTTCAACCAAGAAGAATGTTAAGGGAGAAACTGATTGTTTTTACCTGTTGAAGCGTGGATCCGCATAGGCATCTGGAATGTTCAGGACTTCCCCTGTTCTTGCTACTTGACCAGCGATTCCTTTCTCGATTGAAAATCTGCATATATAAAAGAGAGAGACACACTAATTGAAATACTACTGACACAGAATAATTCTGAAACACTTCATTACCATCAAGCATTGAGTTGAAAAGTCTTGTTTCATTTTAAATGATCATATTAATTTTACATTTACATATCCTAAACTATCTTATAAAACATGTAAAAGTAAAGCAGAAAAACATTACACAGTGATCACTTGAGACTTTTAGGATGTATATCACAGTATAAAGTAATTTAATTGGTTCACAAATACAAATTTAAAATTAACTAGTGATCGCCAGCATTGACCAATAACAATAATCCCTTATACATATGTAAAGTACCTTATAACTTACAATATGTTTCACACAAATTTTCTTAGTATAGTCTCAATGACATGGGTTTTAAGGCCTAGTAGTGTCATAATAAAAACTAGAATACAAGATGATGAACCAGTCCTATTACAGCAGTTGGTATATTTAGAAAACGATGGATTCTCAAGAGAGCATAGCACCATGTTTTCCACCACATGTGGAACCAAATTCAGAGGTCAGGTCTGAACTTTGAGGTGTTCAGGACCTGGATTTTCTGTTGTTTATAACCCAAGTACTATTTAGAAATTTAAATGTTGTTACATTTAAAAACAATCAAAAGTAAATCATTAACTGATTATATTTAATTACACTTTTGTTATCTACATCAGTATTTTTCATTTTTGTTATCAGTATCAATATTTTCATTTATAAATAAGTTCTAACATTAATAAATATTTTTCTTATTACTATATTATCACCATACATGCATTCATTTCAAAATTTAGTTAAGATGTCTATAGTTCACAATATCTATGACTTTCAGTAGTTCAAAAATAATTTCTATAATACCACATTATTAGCATTATAGGAAATAATCATTTCTGAAATGAAGCTTCTCCTTAAGGATTATCAAGAAAAGTCAAAAGACACATGACACAAAAGAGAATTAAAACACCAACAAGTAAACCATGCATAAACTCCAAGTTGTCTGCTTCCTTGTTTTCTTGTGCTTTGAACAACAGGAACACAAGTTAGACTGCAGTGAGGGCCATTTCACCAGGTATGCAAGTGAGTCTGTCTGCTGAGAGCAAGTGGACACCTCTCACTGGAGCTGAGGGAGAAGCCCATGTTTAAGGAGCATGCTCTGACAGTCATGCTGGATCCATCCAGGCATCAAAGTCAGGCAACCACATGCTCCTTTTTCCTGTGCTCGTAAACACAGGCTTTAAGTTACTAATTTCAAAATCGGATCAGTTCAAGGAGTGAGAGAGAACACTTGGACCTTAAGAAAGAAATGGCTTTAAATAAGCTACTGTACCGAGGCTGACAAAGAAAACAAGAAACCCAATTTTAAAACCCAAAACACCTACATAGTGTCCATAAGTCAGAACTATGTGTCAGGAATTCTGGAACTATCACCTAGAAACAGAACTGGAGTACCAGTGCAGACAATGGAGACGCCCCATGGCAGGCCACACTTCCATATGACAGACTGTCAAATGAATGGCAGTTCTTAACGAATGAGGAACAGTATCTTACTGGAGAACATGCAGTATTAGAGAAGAGTAGTTGAACAAGACACATAAAGCCAAAGGAACCCACAGTTTGAAGGGGACCCCAACCTGTGCCTGCCAAGCCTGGTTCTAAAGTCTGTGACAGTGCTCCTTGCAGGTTTCCAGCTTGATAAGCCTGAGCCAAGGTCTTCCACCAACTAGTAACCCTCATGCTGTTCATTTATGTGACAATAGCTGTCACATAAAGAACAAAGAAGGTTTTAGTCTCAAAATGGAATGAAAGTGTGTTGATTAAACCAATGGATAACTGAATGTGTTGAAGTCATCAGTACACCAGAGCAATTTCCTGTAATATTGGGACTGTGAGACAGTCCATATGCTGGGAAGAGGTGGGGGCCGAATTGGTTAAGCTCACCCTTGCTCCTAAACATGGGAGAACCTGCAGACTCCAGGTGGAGCATACTTTACCTACCTGGGAGCACTAGTAAGTTTTTCCAACATGATTTCCAAAAGGACCGCCTCCGGAAGACGGCATTTCCAGGAGTGACGCTAAAGCTTCCTAGGCGTGGTTTCGCTGGCACTGCAATGTCATTCCCAGAAGTACTACCTTCAGGAGGCGGGTCCTGGTGGGAATGATATCACAGTATGACAAGTATTGTCAGCATACCTGTGAATAGGCACAGAAAAGTGGGTAACAGAACACCTGCACATTTGTGATCAGAGCACAGGACGCTCACTCCAGCTGTACCTTATCTCTTTGGTCTTCTTGAAGACAGGCTTTCCTTCCTTTTCCTCTCCAATATCAAAAAGATCTGAATACAATTCCTTGTTCTTATGGTCTACCTGGAAGAGTGCACAACGATCGGCATTCACCAGGTTTTTTGCATATATCTAAAGAAAAAAGGCAAAAGAAGGGTAAGCCAATGAGAAGGTTCAGAGACTTTATGGTAACCTTTATTATGGAATTATTAGTTTCAGCTATTCTATACTCTGAGTAGGAAATTAGCATTATAAGTAAACAAAGATATAGTTATAAAATATATGTAGTGTATAAGTGATTGCTATGTGCTAATACTAGTATATAAGAACAAAAAATAACTGATGGCACCTATACTGTTTGTGCTGGATGTTGAAATGCTAAGACACTGACACTGCTTGGTGAATTGCTACTGGCCTGACTTCCAAGAGCCAAGCGCTCTTTCAGAAACTCTTAGACCTCTCCTGATGCCCTGCTCTGAGCCTCCATCAGCACTAAAGCCACCTTGCAATGTGACTAATTGGTGTCTGTGAATAGCAGTTATAAAAATATGAAATATGACCTCTAAAGAGACCTACAGTTTGATATTTGTAATAGCTGAATTTATTTCCTACAGTGTCAAATACTTTGTAAATATTAAGTACTGACCATAGGTCAGACATATTTTACATTTTATATGCATTGCTTTACTTAATCCTCACAATAATATTAAGTTGGGAAAATATTTTTATCCTTATTACAAAAACTAAAGCACTGATAGGTTACCTAACCTGTACCTCTATGGCTACTAAATGGTGGATATTTAGATTCATACTAGCTGTTTCCATAGCCCACACTTTGATAACAAATATGCACTTCCACTGCTAAATGGAAAATGGTGTATTCATTTCATATTTCATTTATTCAATCATTTCCTACAACTGTAGTGTATGCCTTTTACAAAAAGTCTGCCAACCCATGGCTTTACTACTAAAAGATCTCCATAAACTACTACGACTCCTTACGGAAGGACGAATGGTATAAAAGTAGCAAGAGAGAAAAGAGACTCGAGTTGTTGGCTAATATGGAAGAATCGTGAGATCCTGAATTATCAGTGATGATAATGAGCCTCTATATTAAAGATTCCATTATAACCTATTAAGTTTATAACTCTAGTGCCCAAGGTCTTATTTATTGCTTAATGCATATTTCAGCACCAAATACACTGATTTCTAAAAATCTGGATGAGATGGATAGTTTTCTAGAAAAAATAAGTTAAAGAAGGGATTGAATAATACGAATCAAATAGAGTCATAAAGATGATTTAAAAATTGCAAAAGAAGCAACCCCATAAAAGAAAGAAGGCCCAGAGTTTCAACCATGAATTCTTTTTTTTTTGTATATTTATATATATTTTTTTAATTTTTTTTATTTTTTATTGTTGGTCGTTCAAAACATTACATAGTTCTTAATATATCATACTTCACAGTTTGATTCAAGTGGGTTATGAACTCCCATTTTTACCCCGTATACAGATTGCTGTATCACATCAGTTACACTTCCATTGATTTAAAAATCTTCAACAGCCAGGTGCTGCGATGCAGAAACCTGACAGGCTGAGGCAGAAGGATCACAAGTTCAAGGATAGCCTTGGTAACTTAGCAATACTGTTTCAAAATACAAACGAGCTGCCAATGTAGTGCCGCAATCTGGCTGGGCACAAAATCAGGAGCCACTCAAGCAGGAACAAACTTTATTTTTTGAAACTGCTGCCAAAAAAACTCACTCGGCTTCTCCCGGAACCCCAGAGGAAGTTCCTCCCCCGGAATTCCCTCCTACTGCACTTCCCCAACCAATGGAGTCCCGTAGCAGGCCGAGGTGGACAGCAGGAGTCCAATATCCGTATGAATGCAAATTTTAACATAATCATATCATCTCTATGGCTAGCTGGCGTCACCTTTCAACCAAAAATGCCATGCATCATATTACTTGGCTGTGGCTCTTAGCAATGTAGTTCAGCGGTGGGGTACTTGTCTAACACATGTGAGGCCTTGGGTTCCATCTCCAGTACAGCAAAAGAAAAAACAAAAGTAACAACAACAAGAAAATCCAACAAATTCCCATGAATTTGAACTGCTCTAAATTAAAAAAAAAAATGAATAAAAATTTTCAGTTTTTAAAATTTTATTGGTCGTTTTAGTTAGACATGATAGCAGAATCCATTTTGATTATATTATACAAGCATGGAGTATATCTTATTTGAGGTTAGAATTCCATTCTTATGGATGTACTCGATGGTGGAATTCTCTGTGATGTTTTCATATATGTACATGGAAAAATTATGTCAGACTCATTCTACTGCTCTGTCTCCACTCCCTTCCATCCATTCCCCATTATTTATGTCACTGTTACTGACAAGGAACTATAAAAACAAAATCATAGATTTTCAATTTACCTTAGAAACATTAGAAAAATAATAAATAAAAATTAAAATAAACCACATTTATCAAAATTAACAAATGTTAAAATATTTTAAAATATATTTTATTCAGAACTTTTCGGTATCATAAACTCTACTATAATTCATTACAGCAATAAGACAACGAGAAAAAACCTCTCTGATTATCACCCTGGCTGTCAAAGGTATTTGATGCAATTCAACCATCATTTATGATAAAAACTACACCATATTAATAATCTGTAAGGACAAGATAAAGATATGATGTCAATTAGACAAGAAAAGGATATGTGGAGTATACATATCTAAAGAGGTCATGCTCATAATGTTTTTGCATAGGTAAAAAAATCAAGAAAATCAATCGAAAAACAACTACAGATAATAAGAAAGACTTTAAGATGAGAAACTCTAAACATACATTTACCTTTTCACTCTCCCCAGAGGCTCAGTTTGAAATGAACCTCAGATATTGAAAAGGAATTCAAAATTACCTAGAAATGTTTTGGAACTACACCAAGTCAAGTACTATACATTCATACATCAGGCAAATTTAAGATATTTTAGAAGTGAATGGTACTCAGGACACTACTAACATTTGGACTATGTTGGAAAAGGGGATATGCTCAAATACAAATATATAAACACACAAATATGAGAAAGCAAGGAAAGGTGGGTTCCAAGATATGAACAAAGAGATCATCAAAATTATAATGAAACCGTAAAACTTGTTAGTAAACAGAAATTCCAGATGAAATGAAAACAGGATAAAGGACACACCTAAAAGGCGATATGTGTGTTTATAAACATTCATACATCCAAAAATATGTAAGGGAGAAGGTAAGAAGGTGAAAAGGAGGTGAAAGTGTACGTTTTTCTATCCATTTTGTGAAGGGGTGACATGATATAGACATTGATGGTTTGTTGATCTGGACAGAAATCTTGACTTTAAATGTCAGCTTATGGCTAACAGGGCTATCACTGTCACATGGTGAGAGACTGACTGATAATAAGGATGACACAGAAGTGAGTTGAATGGGGAAACAAAGGCAAACATATCCCTGAAAATATAGTTTGAGTTCTCATGCCCAGTAAATGTAGAAGCCTGACTGTTCAGACTTTTCAGTCACACCAGCCAGTAAATTCCTGTTTATTCACTCAAGTAGGTTTAATAAATAAAGTTTTCAGAAAAGGAAGAGAATATAAAATGTCAATAAATTTAAGAATTTAATTTAGAAGTCCTAATTCTCTGAGTCTTAACTAGCAGCTGGCCACAGAGCATCTGAATGCAAGTGGCGGCCTCTCCTGTTTGCTGCTAGGAGCAGGGAAAAGAAGGCACTCTTGGCATCCAATTCTCAAGGACAATTCTGCTAAGGATAAACTTCTTTACCCAAAATGTCAGTATTGCCCACTGAGAAACAGTGAACTAGATTAAATGATCACCCAGGAATTAAAATATAATCTAAATTTGCTCATCAAGAAATCTTATATATTATCAAAAAAGCCTCTCAAAACATTTTAAACTCATTTCCGTCTAGTCTCTCCTAACCCAAGGTTATCTTTTTGAAACACAAATCTAGCAGCTTAAACACGTCTCTGGCTTAAAAACCTTGAAGGCAATACCTGCTCCAGGCCTGATAACTTGGCCTTCCAGGAGAAATCTTTCTGCACAGGAATGGACTGCTCTCTGCTGTCCACTCCTGTTTCTGCTTGCCTTGCTTTGTCACATCCGTACATCCCTGGACTTGGGCCACAGCATCAACAAAGCCGCCACAAGCTCCCCAAAAAGATCAGCTCTGCTTATCCCCAGCTTTCCAAGCACTAGGTTTTGCCCCTTCCCAGCTCAGAACCAAGGCAATTTTACCTTCGCATGACCCGATTCATGTCCATCTCCCCTCCTAGAGGAGGGTAGAGACTTTTGAAGTTTTGCTCACCATTTTATAACCCCATTTACTACCTACTAGAGAAATGTAACAAAAACTCACGAAATACAGAAATGGGCGAGTGAATTCTAAAGATTCCAATGCCATAGAAAACATAGCAAGGAAAACTGAAGACCTCTACCCTAAGAAGCCCTAATAGTTTTACAGCCAATTTACATCAAACCATAAGAAATAAAGGATTCACGTGTTATTTGAAGCACTTTAGTCCACAGGAAAGAATGGAATGCTTAAGTACAGAATAAGTCAGTACCGATGCAACATTGTGACTAAAAAAAAAGGAAACTATTGAGCAATTTAGTTATGATCACAGATGCAAAATTTGAAAGCAAATATTAACAACCAGTCTAGGAGTTAAGAATCTATTACTACTAAATAGGCTTTAACCCATGAATGTAAGACTGGTTCAATGCCTGGTAATAATATAATTTCCTACTGAATACTTTAAATGGATAAATTATATGGTATGTCAATTACCTCTAAATAAAGCTATTTTTTAAATGTAATAATAAAGGGCTAATTTATTAAGTGATTAATAAGTGCTTCTATGCCCCTAGTACAAGCTCTATGTCAGTCCACATTATATCTTTACATTTTTTATCTACTTCTTAATAATTCCCTGCTTTACAAATTCATTAAAATTTGTCAAAATCAGACAAAGCTATTTTTTCATCAATTATTCTTTTTTATTTTGTCCAGGAAAAACCATCAAGATAACTGACACTATAAAGAATACACTGAAATTCATAATCCCGAATATTCCTGTCTAACTGCCTTTAGCAAATACTGTCTCTTCAGACATAGCACAGTCTAAAAAAAGCAGACTACTATGCACCAGTAAACCTCTAGATGGAGAAACTCCTACTGCAGAAGATTACTGTACTCTGAAATAAATCAGAAAATTCAGAAGAAAAATGAGCTTCCACCAAATCACAGAGCAGGGCTCAAGTGGTGTCATCCCCAAGGCACCACACACTGAGTGAGGACTGGAACCATTTAGATAGGGAGGGCCTCAGCATTAGAGCAGGAGCACTGGGAAAGATGGCGAGGGCTCTGCTCCACAGAGCTTTCAGCTCACAGTGCCTGCTGACCTCTTAGGAGAGAAATAATTGAGATTAAACTGAGTAGAATAAAATTTAAGAGAATCCACTGGGACTCTCCAATATAACCTACATGGAAGAGATGTTTGGGAGAATATAAAGAGGAACCAAACTCTTTTCAAAGTACAGTTCTCCATTAAATAAAAAAAAGTTGAGATATTTTGTAAAATGTTATCCAAATTTCCTCCCCCAGATTTCAAGAGAAGTGACAAACAGATGTACACAGATTTTGAAGTACCACATTTTCATATTTCATAGAGCATGTATGTCTAATATACATAAAACACCATTAAGATGTGGATCTAACGATTAAATAGAATCATTTTCAAGACAAAAGGCTACCTACCATGATGTGTTCAAGTAGAGAATCTATTGCGACTATATTATCAAAATATGTTCTGAAAAAAAGCAACATAATCTAATAAGTAATTTCCTTTAGATCACAGTACACAGTAAATTTGGAATGCATTTTCTGGATTTGTCTATAAAAGTAAAGATATATATCATTTGATTTTTTTTGTAGAAAAACAATATTACTTGAAGATACAAATCAAACTTACTGCATTCATAGAAAGACTAATTTCAGCTGTTATATTCGTAATTACATTATTGCTAAGTACCAAAATGAAGAGAAAGCTGAAGAATTTCAATAACACTAAGCAGGACTAAAATTGGACCAACCATATTTAATATTCTCATGAATTAATTTTTATTTAATGACCTGAAATAAAAATAACTGTCCTAAATCTCATCAATATGGCTAAAATGTAAATTATCACTGAAAGGCTGGACTTAAAAGTTGCTTTCATTGTATTGAGAAAGCAAGAGAATTCATTTGAGAAGAAATATCAGAATATAAATAATGATTAAGATCTAATGACTATATAAATAAAATACATTCCCATTATTACAAATGGCTAGTAAATGTTTTAGAGGTATATGGCATATTTATTAAAATGTAAACCCCAAAAAGGTGAGTCAACTGGCACAGGTTATAGGAGAATATATACAAGCACACACTGCTTTCAGTTCAGGTGTCTATAAATTTAGCAATATTCTCACAGTTAATGATTTTGATTTAAAGGACAAATTATTCAGCTTCAAATTACTGAGACTTAGAACATACTTGACTACATTGTACTCCTAAAGAATACACTACCTAAAGAAGATGGGGACTCAAATGAATTTCCTATTGGGGAAAAACAGGAGGGAATAAAGTGTCACATCAGACATCTGGTTGATTTTGGAACAACTGCAAAATATGCAAATACATTAGCTAAGGAAGGTGTAAAAGTTTCCTTTCTATGTGCTTTGAAGTAATAAAATCATGTGTCCTGGAGATATAATGTTGAATATTCTATTTTCAAGCAGGTAAGTCAGCTTAGATGACCAAAAATAAAGCTTCTTCAAGTCCACATTTCCCTCAGTTTAGTTTTCAAAATAGAGGTATAATGTGAACTCGTACATTCTATTTGTGAAGACTGCAGTATTTTTTGGTGGGTAAGACTTCTATGTGTCACTACAGAGATGTGCAGAGATAATACACCTTGAAACTGCTACTGAGGCCAAGACTAAACAGGCAACCTTTAGTACATGCCTGGGAGGACATGACCCCAAGTTACCATGTCTGGGACATGTTTTAAGTTTCAGTGATTTATGAGAAGTCAGATATATAGAAGATCTCTCATGTATCAAGCAAAACCAATAGGAAAATGAGTTCAATAAATACTTATCTATAATTGCTTTCATTACTAGCTCGAGGGAGTTTAATATATGTCTAAATTCAGGGAAATTGAACATTTTCTCAAAAAAGTATCAGAGACACTATACACAGAAAAGTTAGCAATAATAACATTAATAATCTTGTTTAAACTGACATTGTTATTTATGTTAGTACATAAAACTCTAGAGAGGACTACTTTTTAGGAAAAAATACTTAACTATATATTTTCTCTCCTTCTGTCTGTATTCTCTTACAAAAAATACTCAGTAGCTTTAATATGTTCTAAGAATCTATTTAGAAAATAAATATCAAATTGAATATTAAGATCGTCATATATACATCTGCAATCCTTTGCATACAAAATAAACATGTATGAGGATATGATTCTGTAATCCAAATTATGATGAATGATTTTTTCCCAGTTACTCTTATAATAAAGCCCGATCTTTAGTTAGTGGAGGGAGCAGATAGTGATCTACCACTACCAGGACCTGCACTCAAACCACTGATCACAAAGGGGTATTATACGCCTGGAAATGAGCACTTACTTTGATACATCGAGGAGAAAGTCATTCAATTCAGTCTGTTTTGCAAGACCTCTGCACACCTGCCATATTAAAAAAAAAATAGAGTTTATTAGTTACTAATGATTTCTGTTTATGGAGAATAAAATGTCTAGAATACCATTAATAACAAAATCACTTGGTTTACAATATAATAATAACACTAATAATAATTAATATTTATCGAGTACTTAAATGTGCTAAACATTGTTTTAAGTATCTTATTTTTATTATCTCTGTTAATCACCATGCAATTCTAGAGGTTTGGGATTTGCACTTTGTGAGGCATAAAGACGTGTACAACGTTAGGATCCAGAAATAACATGTGGTAGAGTTAGCATTCAACTCCAGGTAGCCTACCCAAGTTGCTCTTTAAAACTACCTTATAATTTTTTAAAAAAAACTGTAGCTGGACACATATTCTACCTATACTTGATGATCCAAGAAGTCCTGGCTACTCATATTATTATCCTGCAACTCTTCTATTTCTATCAAACAGTTTCTCATCAACCTGAGTTTGCTGAAATGATATTAGAAAACCCAAACAACCAATAAATGAAGGAATAAATGAATGAATGGAAGTTAGAGAAAGCAAAGACATAAAGTACTATATTGCTGCTATGTTCCTGAACCTTAAAGTCTAGCAATGAGGAAATTTGTGATTTTAGTTAATTTGTGATTTTAAAAGTTAGAATTAATGCTTCACTTTTTGAGTTCTTTATATACCCTAGAGATTAATGCTCTATCTGATGTGTGAAGGGTAAAGATTTTCTCCTAAGATGTAGGCTCTGTATTCACCTCACAGATTGTTTCTTTTGCTGAGAAGAAACTTTTTAGTTTGAGTCCATCTTATTTATTGATTCTTGATTTTAATTCTTGCACCACAGGAGTCTTTAAGGAAGTTGGGGCCTAATCCCACATGATGGAGATTAGGATCTACTTTTTCTTCTATTAGACACAGTGTCTCTGGTCAGAATGGTAGTTATTATGCATTTAAACAATAATAAGAGTTGGCGAGGATGTGGGGAAAAAGGTACATTCATACACTGCTGGTGGGACTGCAAAATGGTGCAAGTAATATGGAAAGCTGTATGGAGATTTCTTGGAAAATTGGGAATAGAACCACCATTTGACCCAGCTATCCCTCTTCCTTGGTCTATTCCCAAAGGACTTTAAAACAGCATACTACAGGGACACATCCACATCAATGTTTATAGCAGCACAATTCACAATATTTGAACTGTGGAACCAACCTAGATGCCCTTCAATAGATGAATGGATAAAAAAAATGTGGCATATATACACAATGGAATCTTACTCAGCAATAAAAGAGAATAAAATCATGGCATTTGCAGGTAAATGGATGGCATTAGAGAAGATAATGTTAAGTGAAGTTAGCCAATCCCCAAAAAACAAATGTCAAATGTTTTCTCTGATATAAGAAGGCTGATTCACAATGGGATAGGGAAGGGGAGCATGGGAGGAATAGATGAACTCCAGATAGGTGAGAGAGGTTGGAGGGGAAGGGAGGGGACATGGGGTTATTAATGATGGTGAAACGTGATGATCATTATTATCCAAAGTACATGTGTAAGGACATGAATTGGTGTGAATATACTTTGTATACAACTAAAGATATGAAAAATTGTGCTCTATATGTATAATAAAGAATGGTAATGCATTCCACTGTCATATATAAATTTAAAAAGAATTAATTCTTCACATACTATTTACTTTATAAAATAACTTAGAAAATAAAATCATTAAAATATCAAAGCAACTCTCAGTAGATTATCCCTAGGTTTTCAATGAGAAATAAATACCATAGCAGGACACATACCATTTATTGCATAAATTATTTATCATTTCTATGTATAAATATGCACATACATACATATATAAATATATACATACATGCAATCACAAGATGCTTAAGGCAGAGAGTAAGTGAATAGAAGATTAAATTAACATTTTAAGAAGTAACAAAATATTCTAAAATCCCAAACTAAGCATGAAGTTACTTATTAACCTCTATTCCAGTCTCCAATCCTTCATTAAAAATAAATGGTCTTTCCTAGGAAGGCCCTGTAAAAACATCTCAAAGACTCACCTGCACCTGATGTATTGCTACTGAAGCCCAGGCAAGATTTGCTGTTGCAACCTAAAAAAAAAAAAAAAAAAATTAAAAGCTCATATACATATATGCTTATATATTTATATAAAAAGTTTTTAATTAGTCATATGTAGGCATCTCAAAATGAAGAATTTTCTGAGGTTACTGAGCATTTGTATAGTTTGCCAAACACAAAAATGCCAAATATTAATAAAGTTGATCTTATATTTCCTCTTATATTTAAATGACTTTAATACTCTCTTGTCCATCCATGTTTGATAAAATGGAACATAACTGATTTTAAGAGAGCTATAGTCAAATAATTCCAAAATAAAGTGATTATTTTTCACGTTGACAAAACTACTATTGAAAAGATCTCTAAAGACCACTTTAAAATGGTGTGACATTTCTTAGAAGCCCAAATCTGCGTATATACGTATTCTTCTTTCACCATTTATTCATTTAACAAATATTTCATGGGTGCCAGGGACTCTTCTAGGAGACTTATCAGTAAATAACAAGAACAACAAAATGGTTTCTAGTATCCTGGGGGAGAGAGCAAGAAAAGAGAGGAAGGGTCCTGGGGCGTGTATCAGTGACAGGTGCCACAGTGACAATGAAGCAGGGTGGAGCAAAGTGCCACTGGATGGAGCTATTTAAATGCACAGCAAGGGTTCAGGGCAGCCCTCTGGGAGGTGCTGAATTCTGAGGAGGCTCCTGAAGGAGGTGCTGAGCTCTGAGGAGGCTCCTGAGGGAGGTGCTACCAAGGAGTTGGGGCCAGCACATGCCAAGCAGGGTCTCTGAGCAGCAGCCACAATGCCCAAAGGTCCAGTGTGTGAAGGAGTCAGGGATAGCAGGAGTAGCAGGAGATGGCTCACTCAGGCCAGGGATGGGGGGTCAAGCTAGTGGGGACTTGGTTCTTCCTGGACATGGGAGGCACACCATTTTCATAGTGGGGTTAGTATTAATAAGCTGATTCCAATTCAACAAAATGGAGAATAGAACTCATTGTTTTTCCTGACATATGTGACATTAGAAACTTTTCTCAGGACACAATCAAGGAAGAGGACATTTTTAAGAAGACAAACACAACAAAAGTAAAAAAACTCCTCAAAATCATCCTACTACTTTGTTTCACATTATGACATACTTTTTCTTATGGAAAAACTACATTTCTAATCTACTCAGTCTCTACTATAAATAACTGCAGGACAAAAAGCCCAGATCTTTAAAACTACTAGTATTAGTATCCGTATCAACACAGGGTTAAGCAAATTGTGATTTCACATTTCCCTGGTGCCATCAGGAGCTGGTGGCCTGAAGTCCTAAGTGGCAGCTCCTCAGCCTCACCTCCTGATGACTGAGGCAGAAGGCTTCCTTGCCCCAGTGCCGATAGAGCTCAAGAATACCAATCAAATCACCAATCGCAGTGACAATTGGCAAGCAGAGAACAGACTGGATGCGAGTCCCTGATTCCAGTCCAGTACCTCTTGGGAATCGTTCATCCTGAGAAGAGGAAAAAGACATAAATTCAGTGAAAGAAAAAGAATCATTATGTTATGGCTCTTATTTCTGTGAAATAAGATATTTATTTCATGGAATGATATTTATAACTGATAATAAGCAGTCTTTGCTAAGTGAAACCAAATCATGATAGTTACAATAAACCTGATTTTAAAAAAGATTATTTTTTGCAACCTATACCCCAATACTACTCCAATGTGTCTTTATCCTTGCATAGTATAAATTTAATAAATAAATGACGTGTCAATTTTGAGCAATAATAATAATGCAAGTAATGGCGAAGGCTGACATTTTTTCTTCTCATTCTATGCCAGAACTGTTCAAAGGCTTCACAGATAAAACATGAGAGTAAAAATTAATACCGATGTAAACACTGCATGAAGACAATTAAATGTAAACATTTCTTTTCTTCTATGTTTAAGGTTATTAAAGTGCATGTTAATAAGTTATTCTCATTGAATCCCAAAGGCCCACATTAAGCATTTCAACATCTAACAATTATCAATTACATATCATAACAATAGAAACGTGCTCTCTGACTTTAATAATTTTCTACCTTAGCAAAATCACTCAAAGGAATTATAGGAAAATGGAATGAATTAATGCCCCCAAACACCAATTCTATGGGTTCAGTTTCTACTGTCTGTAGGAAGCTATTAGGCATGAATTAGAACTTTTTAGGAATCAAGAATAGCATGAATCTCTACTTGTAATTTACAGATCTTTTAAAATTTTGCATGTATAAAAGAACATTTTCAAATGAGAATCTATATAGAATCTACTTTTTAATCTCTCTCCTTCCTCAGTCTCTCATATTCTCCCTCTCCCTCTCCC